GCGGGGTGGGGCTGCGCGAGGAGACGGGGCTTCCGAGGTGGAGGGGCGGGGTGGGGCAGTTCATCTGTGACATCAAACTGTGGGCCCAAAGCCAGACAAAGGAGAGAATAGCTGTTTGTATACTGGGACAGTGTACAGGTTAGGGAGTTGGACTCAGGATCCCTGAGTTCCACTATGGTGATGGCACCTTGGGCTGATGGCGTCCCTCTGTGGCCTTGGTTTCCCCAACTGTAAAACAATAATTATTATTAGTCTTCCTATTTCAGTTTCACTTTACAGATTACAAGCTCAGCATAAGGAACAGAACTGGCAGGGCGGGGCGGGGACTGGAGGAGACAAGGTGGCTGAGAGGAGACTGGCCCAAGTCTAAGGCAGAGCCAGGACTGGGACCCAGGCTCCCTTAAATAAAATCCCAGTTGCCTCCCTTAGAAGAGGGGCTTGAATCAAATCATCTCTTTCCTCTTCCAAGTCTCCTGTTCTGTGATTCTTTCCTTCTTGCTGTGTCCCCCTTTTCTGACCAGGTTCCCTGTCTAATTCACTGTGTATACATCTAATGCAGATTCCCTGATGGGCCAATAATAAACCGAGTTGGGAATGGCCTGGACCATAAACCATCAAAGATAAAAAGAAAGAACGCAAGACTGTCCACTCCAATCATATTTAAAATCATTTTTATTGTGAAATACATTAATTGTTACAATAATTTTCGTGCTTTTCATGTCACACTTTTGCCATTCATGTATGCATTTCTACACAATATATTGTTTAGTTTTTTACTGTTATGGGTGTTACATAAATGGAATTAATACTGTATGTATTCTTCTGTGACTTAATATTATCTTGTGGGATTCATCCAATGTTAATGCTGTGTAGATGAGATTTTTGTACATTGTTGGACAGTATTCCACTGTATTGATTTATTTATCCCTTTCACTATTTATGGTCATTTGTGCTGTTTCCATTCTTAGCTATTATTAACGATGTTGCTATGGACATTCTGGTACATGTCTGCTAGTGCACGTGTGCTAGAGTAGAAGTAGATTTACTGGGTATCAGGTGTTGCACATGTGAAACTTTAAGAGGTAATGCCATACCATTTTCCAAAGTAGTTGTAAAATTTATGCTCCTGCTGGTAGTGCATGAGAGTTCTTATTTTTACACATCCTCACCAACATTTGGTATTGTTTGAATTTTCATTTTTTGCATATTTGGGGTGTGTATAGTCCAGGTAGCTCATTGTGGTTTTATTTTGCATCTCTAATTACTACTGAGGTTGAACGCGTTTTCATAGCTTCATTAGCTTTTCAAGTTTTCTCCTTTGCGAACTGCCTAGGAAGTCTTTTGCCCATTTTTCCATTGTATTTTTTTTTTACTCGTTTATAGGAGTTATTTTCTTTATGTATTCTAGATACTAGTTTCTTTGTCCATTGTATATGTGGCAGTCTTTCCCAATTTGTGGTTGGTCTTCTGATTTTTCGTAGTGTCTTTTGATGAACAGGAGAGAAATTGTTAAGTCATGGAGTATGAGTACTCAGTTTACCAAATAATTTTTCAAATTGCTGTCCAGAATGGCTTTCCCAGTTTACACTTTCATCACCAATGCTTGAGGGTTACTCTGCCCCCACGTTTTTCCCAGCCTTGGCATTATTGATCTTTCTAGTTTTTTCCAGTGTAGCATATGTAAAGTATCATCTCACTATTGGATTTCTCAGGTCACTGATGAATCTGAACATATCTTCATCTGTTTATAAGATTCTCTGCTTTTGTTTTTTGTTTTGTTTTGTTTTGTTTCTAAAAATTGTCTGCTTTTATCCTTTGCCCATTTTTCTTTTGGGGTTCTCACCTTTCTCGTGGGAATTCTTGTGTATTCTAGTTATTAATCCCTTATGAGTTTTAGACATTGCAAATATCTTCTCCCATTTTCACCTGTTAATAAACTTCATCCAGGGTGTACTTCAGTTAATAAAAATACCTAACTTTGACGTAAATGGTTTTAAGAAGTCTTCCCTATCCCTAAGGGACGAGAAATTTCCTACATTTTCTTTTGATAATTTTATAGATTTACATCTCGTATTTAGGTGTTTAATCCATCAAGAATCCATCTTTCTAAATGATATTAGATAGGAATCCAGAATCCAGGTGTGTTTTTTTTTCCCATCGCAGGTTAACTAGTCTTCCCAAGAATATCTACTAAGCATTCTAAGCACCACCTTTCATATATCAAATACCCAATGTTCTGTCTTCAAGCTTTCTATTCTGTTCCAGTGTTCTATCTGTCCACTCTTGCAACAGTTGTCGTTGTTGTTAGCTGCTGTCAAGTAGACCCCAACTCATGGTGACCTCATGCACAATGGAACAAAATACTGCCTGGTCCTGTGCCATCCCAATGATCAGCTGTGGATCAGACCACTGTGATCCATAGGGTTTTCATTGGCTGATTTTTGGAAGTAGATCACCAGGCCTTACTTCCTCTCACAACAGTACCACACTATTTTTATTATTATGGCTTCTTAATATTCTGATGGACAACTCTCCTTTTTTATAAGATTGATTTAGCTGTTGTGATACTTTATTGCTTCATTTAATTTTAGAGTAAGTTTATCAAGTTCCTCAAGCAGCCCAACTGGAATTTTGATAGTGATACATTTAATTGATCGATTAATTGAGGTAAATGACATGTTTATAATATACATCATCCCACCCAAGAGCATGGAATGCCTCTCCATTTATCAGGTCATATTCTATGGCCTTTACTCGAATTTTCAAGTTATGTCATAGAGGTCTTATGCATTCTTATTTAATTCCTAGATATTTAATAGTTTTTCTAATCATACTATTGAGAATAGTTATTTAATTTTCATTATATTTACGAGTTTGTTATTGCAACTGTAGGTTGCAATATAGAGGTTATACTTAGGTTATAGGTTAATCTGGCAAGTCTGTTAAACTCTTACTGGTTTGAATAGTTTCTCTGTTTATTCTATTATTATTATTGATGTTTTTTTCCACAGAAATTATTAGTTTTCTATTGCTGCCATAACAAATTACCACAAACTAGGTGGAGTAAAAAGAACACAGATTTATCATCTTACAGTCTGTAGTCAGTCTGACACAGGTCTCACTGGGCTAAAATCAAGGGGTCAGTCAGGGCTGTTCTCTTTTCTGGATGCTCTAGGGGATAAGCCATTTCTTTGCCTTTTCCAGTTTTAAGAGGCCACGTGCATTCCTTGGCTCATAGTTTCCTTCGTCCATCTTCAAACCAGCAACGATGAGTCAAGTCCTTCTCACGTAACATGATTCTGACCTACTCTTCTGCCTCCCAATTCTACTTTTAAGAATCCTTGTGTCTTAGGCTGAGTTTTCTAGAGAAGCAAAACCAGTAAAGCATATAAATATATATATATAGAGAGAGAGAGAGATTTACATCAAGGAAATAGCTGAAGCAGTTGTAGAGGCTGAAACATCCCAAGTCCATGGGTCAGGATAGAGGCTTCTCCTGATTCACATAGCCCCAGGGGCTGGCAAACCCAAGATCAGATCGGCAAGTGTGAGAGCAGGGCTCTTGCTTACAGACTGCGAAGGTAGATGAATCCCAAGATTGACAGGCAAGACACCAAATAAGCTGCTAGCTCAAGTCCCAAGAACCAGAGGTCAGACTAACAGGAGCCAGCTACACCATCCAGGAGGAATAAAAATCCCCTGAGCCTTGCCAGAATGTTCGCTTATATTCGATGCAGGCCACACGCCCAAGAAAACTCCTTTACAACTGATTGGCTGCTCACAGCAGATCCCATCGTGGGGGTGATCACATATCAAATCTCAACAGGGAAGTGGTCACAACACTATATGACTGCCAAAACACTGAGAATCATGGCCCAGCCAGGTTGACACACAGTCTTAACCACCACATCTTGTGGATTACATTGAATTCATTCAGATAACCAGGATAATCTCCCAATCTTAAATCAACTGATTGGCAACCTTAGTTCCATCTGCAAACTTAATTCTCCTTTGCCATGTAAGGTAACATGTTCATAGATTACAGGGATTGGGTCATGAATATCTTTGAGGGGCCATTATTCTGCCTACCACATTGTTGTTGTTAGATCCCATCAAATCAGTTCTGGCTCATAGTGACCCTACATACAAAGGAACAAAACACTGTCTGGTTGTGCGCCATCCTCACAATCCTTGCTGTGTTTGAGCTCATTGTAGCAGCCATTGTGTCAATCCATCTCGTTGACGGTCTTCCTCTTTTTCGCTGACCCTACACTTTACCAAGCATGATATCTTTCTCTAGGGACTGGTCCCTCCTGATAGCATGTTCAAAGTATGTGAGATGAAGTTTCGCCGTCCTTGCTTCTAAGGAGCATTCTGGCTGTACTTCTTCCAAGACAGATTTGTTCCTTCTTATGGCAGTCTATGGTATACTCAGTATTCTTCACCAACACCCAAAATAAATAAATTGTATCACATTGAAACACATCAAATATATTAAAACTCCATGTGTTGATAATGATATTCAAAGGGGGGAAAAAGTATTGGTCATCTTTGGATGATTTTAGGAACCAACCCATTCTGAAAAATATAGAGAGAAATAAACATTTATCCCAAATTTCTTGTTTGAACTATATTTCAAGATAGCCAAAATGTTGATGAGGGAGCATTCTTTATAGAAAACTCCCAGCTATAAATGAACAAAAAATGAAGAATTAGGATATCTGTGGCTGCTTAAAATGTGAAAAACTGATGAAAAGGTTTATAATGGGCAGGTAAGTCTGAAAATACCCAGA